TGGTTAAGGCCACCTGGGTCTACACAGCAAGTCCCAGGTCTACACAGCAAGTTCCAGGCCCACCTGAGCTACAGAGTGAGGCTTAGCCTCAAAAAACCAAAACCATACAAACAACAAAAACGTAGCATTCTAAGTCAATAATGAGTTACTCCAGAAAACAAGCAAACAAAAACCAACATACCTAACTTTTTCTACACAAGTTCATAATTACCAAGTTTTGCCAGTGTTTGATTACAGAGAAACAACACCAGATTTGTTGTGAAGATCTGATAGGCAGGAAGGTCGACAGTGGTGTGGGGTGCGTCTGGTCAGCACAGCCATGAATAGTTTCCTGGATCTAATGAATCAGGATTCTATTTGGCATATCACACACAGTACACCATGAATAGTTTCCTGGATCTAATGAATCAGGATTCTATTTGGCATATCACACACAGTACAAGCTCCGTGAATGGTAATTTGTGGTTTGGGGACATAAACAGGAGTTTTAGATCTTTTCCTGACACAGGTTAGGCTTAGAAGCAGGAAGAGTGCAGCTCATCACTTCTCATTTGGCATGAAGCAGACCTTGAAAGTGTTTGACATATGTCCTTCCAGACTCGCTTACCTGAGGCTGAAGGATTCGAACTATACCCCGAAAGTCTGTTTCTCAAGAAACAAAGAGCTAGAGATCTGAAAATATTTATAGACCTTATTCATAAGTTCTTGAAATTTAATGGCATTCCTATCAGCAGTAGAGATGTTTATGCAGGGTGAGATGTTTACGCAGCAGTAGAGATGTTATGGAGGGTGATGGCAATTTCTTGGGTAATTTGAAGCTGAAATATTTAGCACCTAGTTAATTTCATCTGAATGCTCTGACTTCCTGAAATAGCATTTTTAATTGTGTAAGGAAATGGATCGTTAATGACAAATATTTCCACAAATGAGGTTATAGTCTTTTGTAACTAAAGGGCAATTTACAGCACTTGCTGTGTAGTGTTGAAATGTTTGGAGGTAAAAGATCCAGTCATGATGTCACCTAGTTAATTCGTTATTAGGACTACCACCTTGGACTGCATTATTTGGCCAGTACTGGAACATTTTACCTGTAAGGGGAGACTCATAAATGCTGCCCTTGCTGGTGTGCCCTTTTCTTTTAAAAAAGTGCCGTGGAGTTAGTCTGGTATCACAATAAAAATATTGGAAAGCAACAGAGGAGAAACATTTTTGCCCTCAAAGAGAATGTGACACACTCTTCCTTTACACCAATGTTCCTGATTTGAGAACCACTGTTTGCTAACTGAACATGAAGTATCCTTCAGTGATTACTTCCTATTCCCTCTGACAGTAAGCAGCCTTTCTACTCCACAGGAAAGGCTGGGTTTTGTTGTTGTTTAAAACATCCTGTATAAATACTTACACATTTTTGGGTATATTACTGACTGACATTACTATATGTATTTTTATATGGTTTGTGTGTGCATGTGTGTGTAAGTATATGTACGTGCATGTGTATGAGCAAGTGTGCTTACCCATGCGTGTGTCTGTGAGGCCAGAGGTTGATGTCAGGTATCTTCCACAACTGATTCAAGTCAGGGTACCCCACTGAACCTGGAGCTCACTGACTGGCTGGCCAGCTGGCCCCTGTGACTAGCCTGGCCCCACCCTCCAGTGCTCACCATGTTAAGCTTTTTATGTGGTACTGGGGACCCATCCTCAGGTCCTCAGGTTCGCATAGGAAGCACGTTACCCACTGATCCATACCCTGATGACTGATACTCTGCCAGTCATAGACATCTGATATCAGACATTCCAGTTCTTAAAAGGAATAAGCAGGTGGTTCAGAGATTTCTTTTTCCAGTCATCAACCAATCACGCACAACGTGTCTGTTGGTGACCATCTTTGCATCAGAAATCAAAGTTCTGACAATTCTCAAGTATATTTATCTTTCCATATTGAGAATTTCATGCACAAAAAAATTGAAAGTTGTATAAGAGAGACCCTAAAGGCAC